CACACACACACACACACACACACACACACACACACACACACACACACAAACACCTACACGCTGGAACTTGGACGGACTTTCAGGGCCACCCAACGGGGACACACGTGTGGCACCGCGTCACACACAGACACCAGGACTCTTTGTGTCTCCACTGATTGGTGTCAAATCTGACAACACCTGGACAAAAGAGCTGGAAAAAGCCATACAGTACCTTTTGGTGACTTAAGTGTCGCCACTGCCCAGTCACCATCAGAACTTCCTAAAAAAATAACAATGGAGAGATGCTGATCTGCTGGCCGGCTTCCCATGTCCGCTGCGTCCTCACCCCCAGGTGCTGCTGCTGGCAGCCCCAGCTGCAGCCTCCACGAGGCGGGCAGCCCTCAGGGGCCCCGGGAGTTGGGCGAGAGACCAAATGTGCAAATGTGATTCTGCACGCGCACGCGCACCTCCTTCTGCAAAGCCATGCAGCGGTATCAGGATAACGCCCAACAGAGGGTCAGAAGAAGTCCCCTGAAAAAGGCCTAGATGTTTTCAGTTATATTAGGGAGAGAGAGAGATTTCTTAGGCAGTGAATCTGGCTCTGAATTTCAACCCTCTAAGAAAGAAAGGAAAATTTGAGTTGCATGAGGTCACTTTGGCCAATGACAACACTCTGTTGACAAGAGATACATTTTGATCCTGTTTTAGTGCAATCGCTCTCCCGAAAAGAGTTGGTGGGAGAGCATTGTTAGCCCCAAATCCAAGGTTCGGGCCAGGCTCTGCGAACTGCAACTTTATATGCTGGGTGGCAGGTCCCCAAGGGGTAGGGGCTGAAATACTGTTGAATGAATGAATGAATTCAAGTTTCTCCATGGAGTCACTTTTCCTGAGGGAGGGAAATTCCCTTAAATGCTAAAGGGATCAAGCTTGTTATCTGAGAATCCCATAATGCTCGGCATATTGTTTATAGATCAGTTTCTCCAAGTTGAATTTCATTTCAGGCGTACTGAATGAGCCCTGGGGGATCACACATTATTAGCAGATCCCACTGGTGGTCCTTTCCATAAAGTCAAAGACCATAAGAAGGGCGATGTCTGCACCCTATCTACCACTGTCTTTGATAGGCCTTCTCCGGAAGATTGGGTTTTACTCAAAGCGGGGCAAACCCACCCACGTGTCCGTGCAGTAGCCTCTGCCCATTGGCTGGAGGCCTAGCCAATCAGCGCGCGCCACTAGCTCCCCTTTCCTTTCTTAGGAATCTACCTGGAAGGCCCAAGTCCTCAGCATTTCTGCACAATTTCCAGAGAGAGATCAGGCTGCCAGCTGAGAGGAGTGACAGGGAACATTCTGTGTGATCTGAATGATTACAGAGCACAGATCCGGCCTCATTTAAACATTTCCGGTTGGCCTCCCAGGCGTGCCAGAGGACGCTCAAATTGCCACATTCCCCCTGCGGATATGAACTCACCACCCTCATCACTCACAACAGAGGGGAAATGACGGGACAGAAGAGTGACAAAGTTAAAATTAAGTGAGACCCGCCTGGGATGATTGGATGTTTCTTCTCCCTCTGAGCCAGGGTCATTGACATCTGGAAATAGCGATGTGGCCCCAAATCTTCCGTTGCGGGTGGATAAAAGCCTGGTTGAGTCAGAGTCACTGACGCCGACGAGGCCATCTTACTCCCAGGTGAAGTTCATCACTTGAAGGCAGGAACCATGCCCAGGCCGTGGCCACCCCTCCCCCCCACTACCTAAGACAGGGCTTAGCTCTGGCAAGGCGCTAACAAGTTTTCTTTCATAAATCCACTGAAAATAAGGACACTTAATCAGATGGCACACAGGCTTCCAAATATATACTGAAGGTCCCACTACATGCTTGGTGCCCCTAGTGGACATTAGATAAAAATCTGTTGGGTGAAAAATTAAACACTTAGTAAAAGGGGATGGATCTAAGGCACTGAGAGGAAAGGGACATGAGGGAACTTTCTGGGTGATGAAATATTTCTTATCCTTACTGGGATGTTGGTTATTCTAGAGTATGTATATTTCAACAATCACACTATTGTAAAATTATGATCTGCATTATTTCAGCACATGTAAGTTATACTTTATCTATAGCAAACCAATTATACTCAGCACCATGGGAAAACTTTCAACTTCAAACAAAGAAAAACGGTATTTTAGTAACTTCTCCCTCCAAAAAATGGGGGAATCGTATTCCCAAACCTTTTTTTTTTTTTTTTGACCTGGTTATAACCTTTTGATGCCAGCAATTGCTCTCTGGAAGATAGAATCATTTCATAGAAAGAACACAGGATTCTGAATCAGATAATCCTGAATATGACTCTTGGCTCTACCATGTACCAGAAGTGTGACTCTGGGAAAACTGCTTAACTACACTGAGCCTTAGTTTCGCCACCTGCAAGAATGGGACCAAGACCTCCCTCAAAGTTAAACTAGTAGAAGTCAATCCATGGCTGAGGCGCTCATGCGTCACTTAGGGTTTTCACACACGATTCCTACAGCAAGATGGAAGAGGGAGTTCCTGCCACGTTGAAGTGCATTGTTGCTGTAGTTTTAAACAGGGCTATTGGAAAATGTAACATGGTTCTGGCAAAATAGTCCCTTGTCTGTCAAATAGCAACAGAAAAATTATTTTCTCATTAAAATTTTAATGTAAAAATGAAGGCATCATGGCATTTTATTGATAATGCTGGTATGCCCTGTCTCTTTCTCTCATTGAGTAGCCAGAGTCATACCGAGGCATCTAAAGGGCACATGGTCAGGAGTTTAACTTTTAGATGCATAGAGAAAAAAACTGGACATGGGGCCAATGGGAGATAAATGCCAACGTGTGGGCAATTTTCTGTTTGCAAGGGCTTTTTCCAGCTCTGGAGGCAGGAGCCACCCCTCTCTAAGCCATCAGGTAAGCCTTGAGGATATTTTCCCACACACCTCTGTCTTGTCAACACTGACCTACGAAGAACCATAAAATGGGTTCTCACATTGTAACTACCCACCACACGGGTGGCTCCAGCCAGGGAACTCATAGGCTTAATTAAGTTTTCAGGTTACATTTCAACTCAGTCTATCACAAAACACACTTCTTGTCTTCAATTTTAGTGGAAGATATGTCTGAAATGTTTAAATCCTCAATTCTGACTTAGGAAGGAGAGTCAGTTGGATGAAACTGGAGCTTTTTGTGATAGATTGTAGTAGCCATATGTCTGGGCATGGAACTTCATTGTTCAGGCTATAGATGGGGCAGTGAAGAGGTCTGGCTGACTGCGGGTCCTTAGGACAGCTCAGAAGAGTCCTGTGCTATTTGCTTGCTTGCTTGTTTATTTTATCAGATCCTCAGTGTGAGTTAGCTTCCTTGTATGTCTTTCCCATTAAACTGGGATAAACTCTCCCTCCCTCAAAATGACAGCTGAGCAACTGCATGTTAATCAAGTACTAGTCTACCTTGGAGATTCAAGGAAAACTATGGCCAACAAACAACTCTGGTCTGGAGACTTTAGTATGTGGCAGTATTTACTGAGGATTGACTGTGTGCCAGGCTAAGCACATTCTGTGCACTACATCATTAAATAGTCCCAACAAACAATTAGCTGTCTATTTTTACTATCTTCATTTTACAGAGGGAGAAACGGAGACCTGAGGATGTTAAGTAATCTCTGAAATTATTTGATAAATGTCTGAGCGAGGTCTTAAACTCGGGGCCCATGCCACGTTCTGTCATCTTGCTGATCATCTCATGCTCCTGACTTGAGGTGGTGCCCAACACACACTATTATTCACTGATTTTACAAATACATATTAGGAGCACTCACCAAGTCCCCCAACATGGTAGGAGGTTCTGGGGATGCACTGATGAATGGGATAGACATGGTTCATGCCTCAACGGGACCTACAATCGAGGGGCACCAGAGTAAGTGTCTCAATAAGGAGGGAGTGAATGAATGAATGAAACACACCTCCTTGTACAGAGTCTGATGAGGTTTAGCTTCCAACATTTCCTTAGTGTGTGCTAATATTTTACCGATAACTGGGCAGTGAACCCCTTGGGAACAGAGGCCATTCTGCTGTCACATGACGTATCCCTGAACTGTAGAGAGAAAAGAGTTCTCTTTAAACATGAATGAGTGTGATTTCAATAAGCAACTAAAATAAAATAAAGTTAAGTTAAAATAAAATAAAATAAAATAAATAAAATAAAATAAAATAAAATAAAAAGTTAAACCAAACCAACAGTCACCATCCTTTTCTCTCTGGGTTGGCAATGAATGGATGGGACATATTTAATGGCCCACAGGTATTCTAATAACTAGGATGAGTGGTATTGTTTCATTTTCTATTTTAAAATTTCCTCACTTTTCACTCCTCATTTTTCACTTGAAGAAGTTGAGGTCAGAGAGTCTCAGTGACTGGCTCAAACTACCCGATGTTCTGGATATTAAAGCCGCCAAGAGAAATTTATTTTTCAGGGGTATTTTTGAACTTGGCAGTTAACCCTAAAGGCTGTCCAAGGCTCTCCTTATTTACTAGAAATTTTTAGAAAATAAGTCTGGTTATCAGAGGCTGCAGAGCTTTCAACAGCAAACAATTTTTTAAACAACTTCCCTCCCCGGTGGTAATGATTTCACTAATGAAATGCACTTCATCATCCACCACATATCATGGTGTGAATTATGCCTTAATAAAGAACCCTTCAAAGAACATTTATTATGGGATTTGCATTTCATTTGTGCAGACAGATGCTGGACACCTGGGTAAGCCATTGGGTCAGGCAGTCCCACTGGACCTCCATTTACTAGGAGTCACAAGACCATCAGTGACTCAGATGAAGTTTGTGAACCCCCACAACAGTCAGAGAAGAAGAGGGGCACATCAGCCATATCCAGGATTGTGGAGGGTTCTCTAAATACGATCCTTCAGAGTTTTCTAGAAGATTAGGGGTGCTTCCTTACAACTAAGCTATTCTTTGATTCATGCCAAAGACAAGGTCATTCATTCATTCAGCAGCCATTTCAGAAGTTCTCCCTTTGTGGAAGAAACAGTTACTTAAGGAGGGTAAGATACATTTTCGTACTGCAAATTTAATTCTCAATGCCCTGCAGACATTTGCTATGCACAGGATCCCTGTATAAATCCTGGAGAAAATCAAGGAGCATTGTGGGAATATCTATCCAGTTATTTACCCAAATAGCTACTGAGTTTTGAGGGGGGACAAGACACTTGGCCTAAGCTGAAGAAATGAATTGTTTAGGGTAATGTAACCAGTTCAAAAGGAAAAAGATGTCTGGGTTGATTTTTTTTTAATGCCAAAAGAAGAATCAAATAGAACCAGCAGACGCCATTTATCACCTGAATGCAAAGCTCAGGAAGGGGGCGGGGGGGGCACCAAACCGTGTATGAAGGCTTTGCAGCTACATCGGTGTAGACGCCCTGACTCTTTCTCTCCTAGGCAACCGCCCTCAGCTCTTCCCACTAATATTTGAGTCTATTTAAGCGTGCTTACGATGCATATGCTGTGCAAACATGCAATATGGAACAGGGGGAGTCTGTGGTCATGGGGTATACGTGAGGGCTGAGTTGGGCATAGAAATTCAACACGAAACGTGGGAACTGGTATATAAGTCCTTGCGGGGCTTAGGATTTAGAAAAGCCTGTGTCGGTCTGCATGACCTGTGCCCTCGGTATTAGAAATTTGGTTTGCCTGTCTTTGAGTGACTCCATCTGGAAGTCCTAGGCGATGGGGAAAAAATATGAATTCCTAAAGATCCTTGTGGTTCCGATGCTTACCAAGTTCCCACTATACACCTGGCCCTCTGCCGAGTATCAAGATGCTTGTTTTGTGCCTCTATATGTTGGGGGACCAGGGTCCCCACAAGCATCACAGACACGTGACAGTGTCTGGGCTTTGGTTTCCGGTGTCAGTGTGTAATGGAATTAGGATATTTGACGCTGGAATTGATCAGCAAGTGTCTCCCATCCCATCTCTGACGAGGGAAGAAGACATGAAGACAAGCAGCTGATAATAAAAGCAAGCATGTGGTCTGTGAGTCTTGTGTCTGCCCAAAGTTTGACTTCGCTATGGCTGCGGCTTCCACCCTATAGAACTCTTGCATGAGCGATGTGTTCAGGAGCCTGGGCCACCATCAGGGTCGCTGTCACCCTCCCTCGTGTGTGAGCTAGGCTGTGGTAGTCTAGAGGCAGGAAGGCAGGCTCCGGAGTGATAAAAACCTACAGGCTGCTTGATTTGGGGCAAATGAAGTTAGACCCCTTGACTCTCAGTCTCCTAATCTGAAAATTGGGATAATAATTGTGTCTTCCTCTTTGGATCCCTGTGAGAAAGCAAGGCAGGTTGTATAAAAAGGTCCAGTGCAATGTCTGGCACTTGGATAAGGGCCCAGTTAGCACAAGCCCCAGGCGGCACGCCCCATCCTGAAGAGTGGAAGTTGCGTGAGATGGGGGCGTGCACGTACCGACTTCTCAGAGATGGGGTGACTACGGGGGTGACGGATGTTGCCCACTACAGGGCAAGGCATTCGGACACCGGGTGTCCTGGATTCCCTGAGGATTCACGAGGGCAGATGGTGGACGACCAAAGGGCTGGGCTGTCAGTCGGACCCAAATGAGCCCCCAGGTCCTTCTCCCCGGGAAACAGCCCCCACATGTGTCCTTCACTCACCCCTCCTGCCCCACGTGGCAAGGTAGGACTCGATCCAGTCAGAGAAGCAGCAGCCCAGGGGCTCTGCTTCCCAGCAACCTAGGCCCCAGGTAGAGAGACCAAGAATACGTGTGAGACAGATGGACAGAGAAAGAGGGAGAGAGAGAGAGGAAAGAGACCAAGAGAGAAAGAGATGGAGAAAGAGACAGAGAGAGACGCAGATTTTGAGAAAGAAGAAGAAGCGAAAGAAAAGGAGAAGTAGGAAGAAAAAAGCGAGAGGACTAGAGAAAACAGAGGGAACGAGAAAAAAAGCGCAAAAAAGTAGAGGAGAAACAGAAGAGCACTCACCAACTGCCTTCAAGGAGGCGTACTTGTTGAGCTCTTTGCCCGGCAGCTGCTGTTCGTAGGGGTTGGAGATCTGGCCCAGGCTGGGGTACGAATGTGGATGGCCCATCTGCTGGAGCAAAGGGGATGTGGGCACTGCGTTGTTCATCTGGGTCGTGTCTGCAGGGGAGGAGAAGCAGGGCGTGGTCACAGGTGGAGCGGGACCTTCTACCCATGCCCACCATCGCCGGGTCCCAATCTGCCCGCCCTCCGGGGACACGAGAGGAGAGCAACAGACACATCAGAACAAGCGGCTCCAGGATCCTCCCTGGAAAGCCGCTGAAGTCGGATGGGTAATATATACATATATGTATACATAATAGATGATTAACTTCAATCATAGTCATGGAAATGCAAGTCAGAACAACAAGGAGAAGCCATTCCTTTGCCAAGAGATGGACAAACATTACAAGTATGGAAAGGACACCAAACTGGCAAAGATGTGGGAAACTGGCCAGTCTCATAACCTCACATGGGAGCCCAATTTGCCATATTTGCAGAAAGGAACATGGCAGTGTGTCTGGAAACGTAAAGTGAAGGTACATTTTGACCAAATAATACCACTTCTGGGGATTGAGCCTACAGAAATAGTGTCAGGATTCATGGATGTTTGTTCAGAGATGTTCTTTGCACCATTGTCTGTAAAGTGACAAAAATGCACATGCACAGAAATGACCTGAATTCCTATGAAGCTGGTAATTCTTAAATAAATTATTGTACATCCATATTACACGACTGGTACATATCATGGAGCTGTTAGGAAAAAAAAATGTGTTTAAGAATGAATTAACCCTAGGGGTGCCTGGGTGGCTCAGTCAGTTGAGCTGCCGACTCTTGATTTCGGCTCAGGTCATGGTCTCAGGGTCGTGGGATTGAGCCCCCGCCTCGGGCTCCCTGCTCAGCAGGGAGTCTGCTTCCCTCTCTCTCCCTCTCCTCCTCCTCCCCTCTCTCTCTCTGTCTCAAATAAATAAATATTTTTTTAAGGAGTTAACTCTATACATGTCAACCTGGATAGTTTCCTTTGGGTTATATTGTTAAGGGAGAAAAAGCAAATGTGAAAGTAATGCATATAATATAGTATCTTTGTTAAAGAAAAGAATATCTATGCATATTGCTTGAGTGGTGCGATTTGCAAAGACAGAAAAAAAATATGCAAAGACACAAGAACCAAGTATTGGCTACTTAGAGGGAATGGGGTTCATGGGGAGAGAGGTTCAAGAAGTCTGTTTGGAGGGAATATTCTCTGAGCTGAGATCCAGAAGTCTAGATGTGGTTATGTGTGGGTAAAGATGGAGGGCGCTGGGGAGGGTGTTCGGGGCAGAGGGAAGGGCATGGCCAGAAGTCCTGAAATTGGAGGGGATGCAGTGTTTTCGGGAATGCAGGATGCCCCCTTGCCTTGAGGCACACGTGGCTGCAGAACAGAGTGTGAGCAAAGTGGAAGGAGGTGGGGCTGGACAGGCCGGCGGGGCCCAGGAGGCCATGTGAAGACTTTCCCCTTCACCGTGAGAGCAGTGGGATGGACGGAGGGAAGGGAAGATGAGACGGGGTGGAGTCCAAACGAGGTGATGATGGTTTGGTTTCAGGCAGGAAATACGGGTTCTCCCCAGCTTCATGAAGCTCATGTACAGATCCAGATAAACATGGCGGTGAATGCTGGTGCTGCCTTGGAAGATCGCCTTTACCTGGGATGCGTGCCCATTTCCCGGCTGCTGTCTTGGCTGCACACAGCTCACAGCTGCCCCTCACACCCAGGAAGTTATTCTCGGGAACCACTGCCCTGGGTTTAGTGTGCTTCGTGCACCTCACCCTCACCACCGGGGGTGGTCGGCAACCAGAGCCTGGCTGACACTAGGACACGCAGACCAGCCCTCTGCCTCAAAGTAGAGATGGTTTTATGAAGCAGTGGGCGCTCCAGAGCTCCCAGGGATTGCAACAAGCAACCTTCTTTCCTAAAGGGCCAGACTATAAAGAGTTCCGTCTTTATGGGCCACACAGACTTGTTACAAATACTCAACTCTGCCCCTTGTAGCAAAAAAGCACAGACGTGATGTCAGTGAATGGGTGTGGCTGTGTACCAATAAAACTTTATTTATAAAAACAGGTGGCTGCGAGATTTGGTCCAAGGGCCATAATTTAACTACCCCTGGTCCAGACTTTATCTGAGACTGCAACCCCATCTTTGAGTGGCTCCTTTATCTTTCCTATTTTGTTACCCTCACAACCTGAGAGGGGCATGTGCATGCGTCCGTGTCTGTGTGTCTGTAGCGCTCCCTCAGAGTCTCATACACCTGAACCCATCTCTCAAGTGCTGCTTCTAGACGATTCAACCCGTGACAGATATGGAATATGTTTGGCTTTAGAAACCAATACACCCAAATGAGAAGAGGCAGGGAGACCACTGCTGAGACACAGAGATAAGAAGAGCACTTTTTATCACTGCACACGCACACAAGCCCGACTGCATAATGGGAAGGTCACCAAACATATGCCACGTAACCCAGCCTCTGGCCAGCACGTGAGGAAGTAGATGTATCCTTCTGCCATGATAGCTTTTTGGCTGAGATTCAGTGGAGGGCCGGAAGGCCCAAGCTTAATGAAATCATGGAAGAGGTGTTGCATAAGGTACAGCTTTTGCCGAAGCATGGACCCCAAGAAATGAGCATGTGATCCAAATCGAACAAATCACGATGCCTCCTTCTTCTCCTAGTGATTGGGCCAGAAGCAAGCATGCGATCTAGGCTGCACCAATCAGAATGCTTCCCTGAGTTTTTCTCTCTGGAACCTCGGAAGTCAAGGAGCCAGGAGGTCATGGATTCAAGTAAGTTTGAACCTACCATGTGCAGTATTTCTTTATTGGGAAGGAATAAGGGCAACAGGAGGAAAGCTGAGAAGATAGGAAAGCCCCTTTCTAATAAGTTAGTATGCTTTGGGGTTACTGTCCCTTGTAATGTAGAGTTTGGACTAGTGTAGTTGTCACGCGGATTCCCTCTGGGAAGTGAAGCTGACCAGAGGAGAGGCTGCCCATGTGGCTATAAAGAAAGGCCTGGGGGTTGTGTCAAGATGGCAAAGGCATTGCTCCTTGGTATTCTACAGAGATTAAGTAGAAATTTCAAATGGCCTCAGTAGTAGATTGGGAATGCCCAAAGACATTCATAAGCTAATTTACTAATGTCTTCATGGTAAGTCCTGTTTTTTCACCCCGGAAGTAGATCCCAATCATGAGCCTGTCTAGTTAAAGAGCTGACCTCTCCCAAGTCCACCCTTTCTCCCAACTCCCTGCTCCCTCAATCCTAGATCCCACCCATTAGGCTCAAATTTTGTTTCCAGGCCTGCCAGGGGAAATGCTAAACACTTAATTAAAGAAAATAAAAAATCTGTAGAGATGTTCCTCATCACTTGGGACAGCCTTTTATATTATTCAACAGAATATTTAATGTGCTATTATAAAGTATATTCTTCTGGATGATTTCTCCCAGGTCTTGAGCTACCTCAAGGGCAGTGAGTAGTTACTTAATGTAAGTGGGCCTGACCAAGATGGCCCACCAAAGGAATCCCTCACAAAAGAAGAGATGGGGCTGCCCCAAAGTCACATTCCTGCTATCACACGCAGAGCCACAGGAAACAAATTTCCAGCCGTTTTAGACAGCCATTTTGTGCTCGCTTCCAGGCATCGAATATTCACAGATATGGAAACCCAGTCTCAGGGCAGCAATCAAGAATTATTAAACAGACATTTGTGACTGGGTGTTTTAAATGTTATTTTCATTTCACTGAATGAGAAGATGGAGCAGACCTGGCAACCCAGATTCTCTGTGAGTTTTGTACAAATATATCCAGCTAAGGAGGAGAAACCAAAGTGTAGATGGGAAGTCAGCCCAGCTTGGAATCCAAGCGAAATAGAACAATAGGGTGAGGGAAGAGCAAAGAGTGGGTAAGATCTGTCCTTGCCAATAGAGGCAAGAAGTAAAGTAAGAGAGAAAGAGAATATGTAGGTATATGCATATATGCATATTTGTATGTATATATGTATGTATGTGTCCATGTATGCATATATTATCTATCTATCCATCTATCTATCATCTATATCTTTTAATTTACATAGTCATGGCCATAGAAGGAATCCAACTGGACCAACAATGTCTTGCTCTCAGGAGGATAGTTTCTCTTGTAGACACACTTTGGCGAGAAATACCTTTCCCACCTCACCTCTGTAGAAAGGTACTTCCTACCCAATGCCACAAGGAAAATTTTCCCTGCCTCATTTTAATTTTGCAACTCATTCTGACTCTTAGAAATAACTAACAAGGACTTGCTGTTCTGGGATGCTGTTTTCCATCAAGAGCCTCAGTCAACAAACAAGAAGTTGATGATGTCCCCGCGCTCGCCTTCCAAAGACAGAAAAGGAGGTCTTACGCATTTAACACTCATTTTCAAAGAAGGGTGGGATAGAGCTACTCTAATTGGAAGCATCTGGCTAACTTACCCCAGGTACCTGCTGTGTAAGTGCCATTATATGTGGTATACCTTAGTCACTGAACAGAAATAAAATAAATGCAATTCAGAGAGGGTCAGCTAAGGTGAAAATGCTCAGTTGCAAACACTGGGAGGATGCTGTGGGCTTCTCAGTGTAGAAGAGACAAGTAACAACTATCAGAAACTGGACCAGTTTGGCTCGTCTTGGAAGAAAAGCAACAATAGCCAGTCTTTCAAGGCACATCACAGGAAGAAGAGCGCAGAATGGCACAAGATGGTCAAAACGGTGTAGTTCTGTGTAGTGTACATTATGTGCCAGGTGCTTGGCAAGGAATTTCTCATGCACTATATCTCCTTTAATTCCTACATCAACCCTATGAGGTAGAGATCTACAGACAATATATCTTTTAAAATAAGGTTTTCATTGTAGAACAATTTTAGATTTATAGAAATACTGCAAAGATGGCACCAAGAGGGGCGCCTGGGTGATGCAGACAGTTAGGCGGTGGACTCTTGGTTTCAGCTCAGGCCGTGACCTCAGGATTGTGAGATCGGGCCCCACGATGGTCTCCGTGCTCATCGCGGAGTCTAACTGAATTCTATCTCTCTCTGCCCCTCCCCACCATGCTCACTCTCTCGCTCTCTCT